GTATACAATTTTATATAAAAAAAGAAAAATTACAAACAAAAAGTATAACCTAAAGCTTTTAGAACCGAAATAAATGTTGTTAGTTTAATAAAATCAATCTATAAAAAATATCAGATTGTACCGCAGTCGCGCAAAAAGAGGGTGACAAATGCAAGAGACGTTCACATGAAAACAGTTCATTTGAGTGTTTATAGTTTTGGAAAGAAAACTAAATTTTTGTGTGATCACCGAAATAAAGTTAACAGACACAAAAAAATGTCGAAGAACCAACAGAAAACGCAAGCGACCATGGCGCAGTCGGCAGCGCGTTAGTCTCATATTCTTAAGGTCGTGAGTTTGAGCCTCACTGGTGGCAGTTCAAGAAAAATAACTTTACTTGCTTTATATGCAACTTTACAATTTTACAAAAAAAAAAGAGAAATTACAAACAAAAAGTATAACCAACTAAAGCTTTTAGAACCGAAATAAATGTAGTTAGTTTAAAAAAATCAATCTATAAAAAATATCAGATTGTACCGCAGTCGCGCAAAAAGAGTGATAAATGCAAGAGATGTTCACATGAAAACAGTTAATTTGAGTGTTTTTAGTTTTGGAAAGAAAACAAAATTTTTGTGTGATCACCGAAATAATGGTAACAGACACAGAAAAGAGTAGAAGAACCAACAACCAACGCACGCGACCATGGCGCAGTCGGCAGCTCGTAACTCTCATAATCTTAAGGTCGTGAGTTCAAGCCTCACTGGTCGCAATTCAAGAAGAAAAATTTTACTGGCTTTATATCCAACTAAACAATTTTCTAAAAAAAAGAGAAAGTACAAACAAAAAGTATAACCAACTAAAGCTTTTAGAACCGAAATAAATGTAGTTAGTTTAATAAAATCAACCTATAAAAAAATCAAATTGTACCGCAGTCGCGCAAAAAGAGGGTGACAAATGCAAGAGATGTTCACAAAAAAAAACAGTTCATTTGAGTGTTTTTAGTTTTGGAAAGAAAACTAAATTTTTGTGTTATCACCGAAATAGTGTTAACAGACACACAAAAGAGTAGAAGAACCAACAACCAACGCACGCGACCATGGCGCAGTCGGCAGCTCGTAACTCTCATAATCTTAAGGTCGTGAGTTCAAGCCTCACTGGTCGCAATTCAAGAAGAAAAATTTTACTTGCTTTATATCCAACTATACAATTTTATATAAAAAAAGAAAAAATACAAACAAAAAGTAGAACCAACTGAAGCTTTTAGAACCGAAATAAATGTTGTTAGTTTAATAAAATCAATCTATAAAAAATATCAGATTGTACCGCAATCGCGCAAAAGGAGGGTGACAAACGCAAGAGATTTTCACATGAAAACAGTTCATTTGAGTGTTTTTAGTTTTGGAAAGAAAGCTAAATTTTAGTGTAATATACGAAATAATGGTAACAGACACACAAAAAAGTAGAAGAACCAACTACCAACGCATGCGACCATGGCGCAGTCGGCAGCGCGTAAGTCTCATAATCTTAAGGTCGTGAGTTCGAGCCTCACTGGTCGCAGTTCAAGAAGAAAAATTTTACTTGCTTTATATCCAACTATACAATTATATATAAAATAAAGAAAAATTACAAACAAAAAGTATAACCAACTAAAGCTTTTAGAACCGAAATAAATGTTATTAGTTTAATAAAATTAATCTATAAAAAATATCAGATTGTACCGCAGTCTCGCAAAAAGAGGGTGACAAATGCAAGAGATGTTCACATGAAAACAGTTCATTTGAGTGTTTTTAGTTTTGGAAAGAAAACTAAATTTTTGTGTTATCACCGAAATAGTGTTAACAGACACACAAAAGTGTCGAAGAACGAACACACAACGCAAGCGACCATGGCGCAGTCGGCAGTGCGTAAGTCTCATATTCTTAAGGTCGTGATTTTGAGCCTCACTGGTGGCAGTTCAATAAAAATAACTTTAATTGCTTTATATCCAACTTAACAATTTTACAAAAAAAAAGAAAAATTACAAACAAAAAGTATAACCAACTAAAGCTTTTAGAACCGAAATAAATGTTATTAGTTTAATAAAATTAATCTATAACAAATATCAGATTGTACCGCAGTCTCGCAAAAAGAGGGTGACAAATGCAAGAGATGTTCACATGAAAACAGTTCATTTGATTGTTTTTAGTTTTGGAAAGAAAACAAAATTTTTGTGTGATCACCGAAATAATGGTAACAGACACAAAAAAGAGTAGAAGAACCAACAACCAACGCACGCGACCTTGGCGCAGTCGGCAGCGCGTAAGTCTCATAATCTTAAGGTCGAGAGTTCGAGCCTCACTGGTCGCATTTCAAGAAGAAAAATTTTACTTGCTTTATATCCAACTAAACACTTTTCTAAAAAAAAAGAGAAATTACAAACAAAAAGTATAACCAACTAAAGCTTTTAGAACCGAAATAAATCTAGTTAGTTTAATAAAATCAATCTATAAAAAAATTAGATTGTACCGCAGTCGCGCAAAAAGAGTGACAAATGCAAGAGATGTTCACATGAAAACAGTTCATTTGAGTGTTTTTAGTTTTGGAAAGAAAACAAAATTTTTGTGTGATCACCGAAATAATGGTAACAGACACAGAAAAGAGTAGAAGAACCAACAACCAACGTACGCGACCATGGCGCAGTCGGCAGCGCGTAAGTCTCATAATCTTACGGTCGAGAGTTCGAGCCTCACTGGTCGCAGTTCAAGAAGAAAAATTTTACTTGCTTTATATCCAACTAAACAATTTTCTAAAAAAAAGAGAAATTACAAACAAAAAGTATAACCAACTAAAGCGTTTAGAACCGAAATAAATGTAGTTAGTTTAATAAAATCAATCTATAAAAAATATCAGATTGTACCGCAGTCGCGCAAAAAGAGGGTGACAAATGCAAGAGATATTCACATGAAAACAGTTCATTTGAGTGTTTTTAGTTTTGGAAACAAAACAAAATTTTTGTGTGATCACCCAAATAATGGTAACAGACACACAAAAATGTCGAAGAACCAACAGACAACGCACGCGACCATGGCGTAGTCGGCAGCACATAAGTCTCATAAGCTTAAGGTCGAGAGTTCGAGCCTACCTGGTCGCAGTTCAAGAAGAAAAATTTTACTTGCTTTATATCCAACTTTACAATTTTACAAAAAAAAAGAAAAATTACGAACCAAAAAGTAAAACCAACTAAAGCTTTTAGAACCGAAATAAATGTAGTTAGTTTAATAAAATCAATCTATAAAAAAATCAAATTGTACCGCAGTCGCGCAAAAAGAGTGACAAACGCAAGAGATGTTCACATGAAAACAGTTCATTTGAGTGTTTTTAGTTTTGGAAAGAAAACAAAATTTTTGTGTGATCACCGAAATAATGGTAACAGACACAGAAAAGAGTAGAAGAACCAACAACCATCGCACGCGACCATGGCGTAGTCGGCAGCGCATAAGTCTCATAATCTTAAGGTCGAGAGTTCGAGCCTAACTGGTCGCAGTTCAAGAAGAAAATCTTTACTTGCTTTATATCCAATTAAACAATTTCCTAAAAAAAAGAGAAATTACAAATAAAAAGTATAACCAACTAAAGCTTTTAGAACCGAAATAAATGTAGTTAGTTTATTAAAATCAATCTATAAAAAAATCAGATTGTACCGCAGTCGCGCAAAAAGAGGGTGACAAATGTAAGAGATGTTCACAAGAAAACAGTTTATTTGAGTGTTTTTAGTTTTGGAAACAAAACAAAATTTTTGCGTGATCACCGAAAAAATGGTAACAGACACAGAAAAGTGTCGAAGAACCATCAGTCAACGCAAGCGACCATGGCGCAGTCGGCAGCGCGTAAGTCTCATAATCTTAAGGTCGTGAGTTCGAGCCTCACTGGTCGCAGATCAAGAAGAAAAATTTTACTTGCTTTATATCCAACTAAACAATTTTATTAAAAAAAAGAGAAATTACAAACAAAAAGTATAACCAACTAAAGCTTTTAGAACCGAAATAAATGTAGTTAGTTTAATAAAATCAATCTATAAAAAATCAGATTGTACCGCAGTCGCGCAAAAAGAGGGTGACAAATGTAAGAGATGTTCACAAGAAAACAGTTCATTTGAGTGTTTTTAGTTTTGGAAACAAAACAAAATTTTTGTGTGATCACCGAAAAAATGGTAACAGACACACAAAAGTGTCGAAGAACCAGCAGACAACGCAAGCGACCATGGCGCAGTCGGCAGCGCGTAAGTAGCATAATCTTAAGGTCGTGAGTTCGAGCCTCATTGGTCGCAGTTCAAGAAGAATAATTTTACTTGCTTTATATCCAACTTTACAATTTTACAAAAAAAAAAGAAAAATTACGAACAAAACGTATAACCAACTAAAGCTTTTAGAACCGAAATGAATTTTGTTAGGTTAATAAAATCAATCTATAAAAAATATCAGATTGTACCGCAGTCGCGCAAAAAGAGGGTGACAAATGCAAGAGATGTTCAGATGAAAACAGTTCATTTGAGTGTTTTTAGTTTTAGAAAGAAAATAAAATTTTTGTGTGATCACCGAAATAATGGTAACAGACACAGAAAAAAGTAGAACAACCAACAACCAATGCACGCGACCATGGCGCAGTCAGCAGCGCGTCAGACTCATAATCTTAAGGTCGTGAGTTTGAGCCTCACTGGTCGCAGATCAAGAAGAAAAATTTTACTTGCTTTATATCCAACTAAACAATTTTATTTAAAAAAAAGAGAAATTACAAACAAGAAGTATAACCAACTAAATCTTTTAGAACGGAAATAAATGTAGTTAGTTTAATAAAATCAATCTATAAAAAATATCAGATTGTACCGCAGTCTCGCAAAAAGAGGGTGACAAATGCAAGAGATTTTCACATGAAAACAGTTCATTTGAGTGTTTTTAGTTTTGGAAAGAAAACTAAATTTTAGTGTGATAACCGAAATAATGGGAACAGACACAAAACGGTAGAAGAACCAACAACCAACGCACGCGACCATGGCGCAGTCGACAGCGCGTAAGTCTCGTAATCGTAAGGTCGTGAGTTTGAGCCTCACTGGTCGCAGTTCAAGAAGAAAAATTTTACTTGCTTTATATCCAACTATACAATTTTACAAAAAAAAGAAAAATTACAAACAAAAAGTATAACCAACTAAAGCTTTTAGAACCGAAATAAATGTTGTTAGTTTAATAAAATCAACCTATAAAAAATATCAGATTGTACCGCAGTCGCACAAAAAGAGGGTGACAAATGCAAGAGATGTTCAGATGAAAACAGTTCATTTGAGTGTTTTTAGTTTTGGAAAGAAAAAAATTTTTTTGTGTGATCACCGAAATAATGGTAACGGACACAAAAAAGTGTCGAAGAACCAACAGACAACGCAAGCGACCATGGCGCAGTCGGCAGCGCGTAAGTCTCATAATCTTAAGGTCGTGAGTTCGAGACTCACTGCTCGCAGTTCAAGAAGAATAATTTTTTTCTTGCTTTATATCCAACTTTACAATTTTACAAAAAAAGAAAAATTACAAACAAAAAGTATAACCAACTAAAGCTTTTAGAACCGAAATAAATTTTGTTAGGTTAATAAAATCAACCTTTAAAAAATATCAGATTGTACCGCAGTCGCGCAAAAAGAGAGTGACAAATGCAAGAGATGTTCACATGAAAACAGTTCATTTGAGTGTTTTTAGTTTTGGAAAGAAAACAAAATTTTTGTGTGATCACCGAAATAATGGTAACAGACAAAGAAAAGAGTGGAAGAACCAACAACCAACGCACGCGACCATGGCGCAGTCGGCAGCGCGTAAGTCTCATAATCTTAAGGTCGTAAGTTCGAGCCTCATTTGGCGCAGTTCAAGAAGAAAAACTTTACTTGCTTTATATCCAACTAAACAATTGTATATATAATAAAGGAGAAATTACAAACAAAAATAATAACCAACTAAAGCTTTTAGAACGGAAATAAATGTAGTTAGTTTAGTAAAATCAATCTATAAAAAATAGCAGATTGTACCGCAGTCGCGCAAAAAGAGGGTGACAAATGCAAGAGATGTTCACATGAAAACAGTTCATTTGAGTGTTTTTAGTTTTGGAAAGAAAACAAAAATTTTGTGTGATCACCGAAATAATTGTAACGGACACAAAAAAGTGTCGGAGAACCAACAGACAACTCAAGCGACCATGGCGCAGTCGGCAGCGCATAAGTCTCATAATCTTAAGGTCGTGAGTTCGAGCCTCACTGGTCGCAGTTCAAGAAGAATAATTTTTTTCTTGCTTTATATCCAACTTTACAATTTTACAAAAAAAGAAAAATTACAAACAAAAAGTATAGTTGGTTATACTTTTTGTTTGTAATTTTTCTTTTCGAACCGAAATAAATTTTGTTAGGGCAATAAAATCAATCTATAAAAAATATCAGATTGTACCGCAGTCGCTCAAAAAGAGGGTGACAAATGCAAGAGATGTTCACATGAAAAAAGTTCATTTGAGTGTTTTTAGTTTTGGAAAGAAAACTAAAATTTTATGTGATAACCGAAATAATGGTAACAGACACACAAAAGATGAGAAGAAACAACAACCAACGCACGCGACCATGGCGCAGTCGACAGCGCGTAAGTCTCATAATCTTAAGGTCGTGAGTTCGAGCCTCACTGGTCGCAGTTCAAGCAGAAAAATTTTACTTGCTTTATATCCAACTATACAATTTTACAAAAAAAAAGAAAAATTACAAACAAAAAGTATAACCAACTAAAGCTTTTAGAACCGAAATAAATGTTGTTAGTTTAATAAAATCAACCTATAAAAAATATCAGATTGTACCGCAGTCGCACAAAAAGAGGGTGACAAATGCAAGAGATGTTCAGATGAAAACAGTTCATTTGAGTGTTTTTAGTTTTGGAAAGAAAAAATTTTTTTTGTGTGATCACCGAAATAATGGTAACGGACACAAAAAAGTGTCGAAGAACCAACAGACAACGCAAGCGACCATGGCGCAGTCGGCAGCGCGTAAGTCTCATAATCTTAAGGTCGTGAGTTCGAGAGTCACTGGTCGCAGTTCAAGAAGAATAATTTTTTTCTTGCTTTATATCCAACTTTACAATTTTACAAAAAAAGAAAAATTACAAACAAAAAGTATAACCAACTAAAGCTTTTAGAACCGAAATAAATTTTGTTAGGTTAATAAAATCAACCTTTAAAAAATATCAGATTGTACCGCAGTCGCGCAAAAAGAGAGTGACAAATGCAAGAGATGTTCACATGAAAACAGTTCATTTGAGTGTTTTTAGTTTTGGAAAGAAAACAAAATTTTTGTGTGATCACCGAAATAATGGTAACAGACAAAGAAAAGAGTGGAAGAACCAACAACCAACGCACGCGACCATGGCGCAGTCGGCAGCGCGTAAGTCTCATAATCTTAAGGTCGTAAGTTCGAGCCTCATTGGGCGCAGTTCAAGAAGAAAAACTTTACTTGCTTTATATCCAACTAAACAATTGTATATATAAAAAAGGAGAAATTACAAACAAAAATAATAACCAACTAAAGCTTTTAGAACGGAAATAAATGTAGTTAGTTTAGTAAAATCAATCTATAAAAAATAGCAGATTGTACCGCAGTCGCGCAAAAAGAGGGTGACAAATGCAAGAGATGTTCACATGAAAACAGTTCATTTGAGTGTTTTTAGTTTTGGAAAGAAAACAAAAATTTTGTGTGATCACCGAAATAATGGTAACGGACACAAAAAAGTGTCGGAGAACCAACAGATAACTCAAGCGACCATGGCGCAGTCGGCAGCGCATAAGTCTCATAATCTTAAGGTCGTGAGTTCGAGCCTCACTGGTCGCAGTTCAAGAAGAATAATTTTTTTCTTGCTTTATATCCAACTTTACAATTTTACAAAAAAAGAAAAATTACAAACAAAAAGTATAGTTGGTTATACTTTTTGTTTGTAATTTTTCTTTTCGAACCGAAATAAATTTTGTTAGGGCAATAAAATCAATCTATAAAAAATATCAGATTGTACCGCAGTCGCTCAAAAAGAGGGTGACAAATGCAAGAGATGTTCCATGAAAAAAGTTCATTTGAGTGTTTTTAGTTTTGGAAAGAAAACTAAAATTTTATGTGATAACCGAAATAATGGTAACAGACACACAAAAGATGAGAAGAACCAACAACCAACGCACGCGATCATGGCGCAGTCGACAGCCCGTAAGTCTCATAATCTTAAGGTCGTGAGTTCGAGCCTCACTGGTCGCAGTTCAAGCAGAAAAATTTTACTTGCTTTATATCCAACTATACAATTTTATATAAAAAAAAGAAAAATTAGAAACAAAAAGTATAACCAACTAAAGCTTTTAGAACGGAAATAAATGTTGTTAGTTTATTAAAATCAATCTATAAAAAATATCAGATTGTACCGCAGTCGCGCAAAAAGAGGGTGACAAATGCAAGAGATGTTCACATGAAAACAGTTCATTTGAAGGTTTTTAGTTTTGGAAAGAATACTAAATTTTAGTGTGATAACCGAAATAATGGTAACAGACACACAAAAGAGTAGAAGAACCAACAACCAACGCACGCGACCATGGCGCAGTCGGCAGCGCGTAAGTCTCATTATCTTAAGGTCGTGAGTTCGAGCCTCACTGGTCGCAGTTCAAGCAGAAAAATTTTACTTGCTTTATATCCAACTATACAATTTTATATATAAAAAGAAAAATTACAAACAAAATCATAACCAACTAAAGCTTTTAGAACCGAAATAAATTTTGTTAGGGCAACAAAATCAATCTATAAAAAATATCAGATTGTACCGCAGTCGCGCAAAAAGAGCGTGACAAATGCAAGAGATGTTCACATGAAAACAGTTCATTTGAATGTTTTTAGTTTTGGAAAGAAAACTAAATTTTAGTGTGATAACCGAAATAATGGTAACAGACACACAAAAGAGTAGAAGAACCAACAACCAACGCAAGCGACCATGGCGCAGTCGGCAGCGCGTAAGTCTCATAATCTTAAGGTCGTGAGTTCGAGCCTCACTGGTCGCAGCTCAAGAAGAATAATTTTTTTTCTTGCTTTTATATCCAATTTTACAATTTTACAAAAAAAAGAAAAATTAAAAACAAAAATTATAACCAACTAAAGCTTTTAGAACCGAAATAAATTTTTTAGGGCAATAAAATCAATCTATAAAAAAGATCAGATTGTACCGCAGTCGCGCAAAAAGAGGGTGACAAATGCAAGAGATGTTCACATGAAAACAGTTCATTTGAGTGTTTTTAGTTTTGGAAAGAAAACTAAATTTTTATGTGATAACCGAAATAATGGTAACAGACACACAAAAGATGAGAAGAACCAACAACCAACGCACGCGACCATGGCGCAGTCGACAGCGCGTAAGTCTCATAATCTTAAGGTCGTGAGTTCGAGCCTCACTGGTCGCAGTTCAAGAAGAATAATTTTTTTCTTGCTTTATATCCAACTTTACAATTTTACAAAAAAAGAAAAATTACAAACAAAAAGTATAGTTGGTTATACTTTTTATTTGTAATTTTTCTTTTCGAACCGAAATAAATTTTGTTAGGGCAATAAAATCAATCTATAAAAAATATCAGATTGTACCGCAGTCGCGCAAAAAGAGGGTGACAAATGCAAGAGATGTTCACATGAAAAAAGTTCATTTGAGTGTTTTTAGTTTTGGAAAGAAAACTAAAATTTTATGTTATAACCGAAATAATGGTAACAGACACACAAAAGATGAGAAGAACCAACAACCAACGCACGCGACCATGGCGCAGTCGACAGCGCGTAAGTCTCATAATCTTAAGGTCGTGAGTTCGAGCCTCACTGGTCGCAGTTCAAGCAGAAAAATTTTACTTGCTTTATATCCAACTATACAATTTTATATATAAAAAAAGAAAAATTAGAAACAAAAAGTATAACCAACTAAAGCTTTTAGAACGGAAATAAATGTTGTTAGTTTATTAAAATCAATCTATAAAAAATATCAGATTGTACCGCAGTCGCGCAAAAAGAGGGTGACAAATGCAAGAGATGTTCACATGAAAAC